ATATATGAAGTATTTATACTACGAGTATATAGAAAAAAGTAATTAAGCATACAAAATTATGTGATAGAATTTTTATGATAGGTTATTTATATTAACCATTGTAAATATTAAATATGTATATATATATATACATATTTATTTTGGATACGAAATAGAATAATTTACTTCCTAACATTTACTAAATGCAAATGAAAAAATAAACACGTATAATAATACTTAAATGACAGATTAAAACATAAACACTTCTTAGTACGGTTTATTTTTTACAAAACAAAAAACAATAAATTTTATTTTCATATTAATAGGTCCTGTAAAAAATACTTTAAAATGGTTCGCAAAGTTTACTTAACGGTTGATAATTAACATATTCTTCCCATTTAGCATAAAAATTTCGAACAATTTTTAAGATTTAATAATTTTTCGTGTTTAGTTGTTTAATTTCTTTGAAAATTTGTTTTTGGAAACAAAATTAAATTTAATTGTTTATTTACAATACCATGTTAAATATAAGTACAATGCATATTCATTGTATTCTTTACTTTAATTATATAACATGTATCAGAATTAGAAAAGAATATTCAGAAACGATAATAATATTTCTCTTCTCTTTTAACTTGAAAGAAGAACTTAATTTCAAACGAACTTTTAATTATTGAACTATCCAATAAAGTAGTAACAAATCAACACTGCACTTTTAGGTAAGATTGAAATGCATTGATCCTTCTGTAGATTGAATCTATAATTTTTGATTTTATTCATTTTGCTTTGGAATTGTATGTTATTAGGCTATTACGTATCAAATAACTGTCGTAGATACGAAATGGAGATATTACGTGAGTTTATTACAGGTTTAATGGTAAATTAACATTACAGTTCAGATTTTAGTGTTTATATCAATCTGGAAATTTTCTATTGTTAGATTTTTGAAAGTAATGATTTACCTTATAATTAGCTATTTGCAAACACAAACGTTGTTCTATCCGAATTGTTTCTGTGACTGAGTGGATATTTATGATAAATCAGGAAAAATTCGAAATTTATAATGGTTATAACTTATGTTTATTGAAGCAATAATATTAAGTATCTCCATTGTCTATTTCTAAAATAAGAATAAACGCAGACGAGATTAAAATGTAATACAATATTTATGGAATACTGTAAAAGTAATAAAGTTGATTAATGTTTAAAAGAGGTGCATTTGTATTTACATATTTGAGATTAATTAACGAAAAAACGATAAACATATTCGCTTAGTATTATGCTAATCTTAAAAATCACAACGCAGAAAAGAAATGAATGAAGTAACTCCATAGCTGATGACAATGGATTGTATTATTTAATGCAAAAGTATAAAATTGAATATATTATCGAACAATCTCATATTGTAATATTTAAGTTTTCTAAAGAGGATAACTAGTTAAAAATCATTTAAAAATTTTTCCATTGACAACACGGATGTATAAAAACATATAAAATTATTATTATTGGTTAAAGTTTCCAACTAGCAATAATCGCACCTCGGTCAGAACCTCATTAGTAATGATATCGCCTCTGCGCAAAGCTATAAAATTATTATTATTATTTCCAATGATATTTGATTTAACTAATTTAAGTGAACTAAAATTAATTTTAGAAAGTGTAATATAATTTTATTGTAAACAGAAAAATATTTTAAGAAGCTTCATACGCAAGTGTTATAAATTTGCATATTAAGACCTAAATTGAGTTCGTGAGTGGAGCAATATGGATTATTCAAATGGGCATAATAGGTATCAACTATTTGAACCAGTTTGTATGTTCGGCATTTAAATTTGTATATTTCCTGTCAGTATAGTCATATTTTCATTATAAAAATATAAAGATTCTTGAGTTTCAATAACTAGAAAGTCACATTTTACATTTAAAAAGATTGTCTTGAAAATATCACGACATAACATTATAAACCATAATCCCTCCCACTCTAAACTCTGTTATTACGCTAGAAAGTCACGTTTCGTTATACAATTATTTAACTCTATGTATCTATACGTATCTTTTAACATGCCAACGTCCTTTGTAAACTTGTCTTTATTATCGCAATCAGACAGTAATTGTGACATAAGCTGGGAGCACAGGGGCTAAATTCCACTTAATTGGCACAGGTTGTTAAAATCCGACCTCGGGTTCGTCGGATGGCTAAAACTTGACAAGAAGGCAAAATCGAGTGGGAGAGTTCGTGAGGAAGTCGAGAGGTGTCCGTTTTTCGAAGTGACGGGAGACAGGTTTAACATATAACAAAAAGAAAGGTTTATTATATAACTACTAGTTGAATACATACACAGGTTAAATAAGGCTAAATGGGATTAGTATGCGATTAGAAGTCCAACCTTTCCAAAAGGTTAATCTATCGACTGAGAGAGTCTCCTAATAATTCCAGACTGAGAGAGTCCCCTAATAATTACCTGTAATGTTGGAGGAGAGCTATATCTGGCGATAACAGTGCTATATAGAAGTGTCACAACTGTTGAATGTCTTTCAAGTGATGTCTTCTCCTTTCGTTGGTTCAGGTCCGTTGTATAGAGGTCCGGGAGACGGAATGGGCACAATTACCAAAATATAACCTCCAGTTCGATCGTCCCGAGCTTCCGGTGGCTGTCGTTTTTATCTTATTGTCGTGGGAAGGAGGTCATGTGATCGACAAATGTTGACGATGAAGCATTCTTGACAGCTAAGTGTAAACTTTCCACTGACTTGTTACTATAACCGGTGACCTCCGCCCTTATTCTCCATTTTTTCTATTGGGAAATGTTTACATTTCGAAAAACAAAATTCACCTTAATTTTTACAATCCCCTTAAAATCCGCGACCTCACACCGATGCAACAGATTCAAATACTATAAAGCCAAACGTTAATCTTTCGAAGGAAAGAAATATTAGTTTATTCGTTCATTCTTATTGAAAATTGAACATAGAGTCGTTTACTTCTGATACCAGGAATGATTTATCTGAAGTTTCTGTAAAACAAGTGGAGAAAATATTGAGAGAGAACTTAGACGTATTTGCCAAGAGAAGTTTCAATCTTGGAGTATGCATCCTAGGATTCCATGAAATAGTAACGAAACTTGATGTTAATTAAGCAAAATGCTTACACAACGTTCTCTACCAACGCGAAATAATCAGATATTAAGTAGAACGGATGCTTTCAAGCTGGTATAATTCAGTCGACAAAGAGTTCCTGGGCATCTTCTATAGTGTTAGTACCAAAGAAAGACTGGAAACATCGGTTATTTGGGGATTATCGTTGTTTAAATATTCTCACCGTCTCATATACTTATCTCCTACCACGTATAGACGATATGCTTTAGAAATCGTGAGAGGAAACAAACTATTCAGTAAGAATAGAGTTGTTTCCTTCCATCGCTGACACGTGGAGCAGAAGCAGTAAACGTATTAGAAAACGACGTAAATATTATCTTAATGCTTCGGCAAACCTGAACGTTTTGGGCATAATGAAGGAGATCCAATTTACTCATTGTGGGATATTTCACGGCAAGAAGTGCAACACTTAGAACAAATGTCAGTAGAATTCCAAAATACATTATTCGACTTAAAATCTTTGATAATGATAATTAGACCTAAGTGCGCGTAATTTAATGCTGGAGGTCACGTAGTAAAATTTTTATTTGGTGTCGCAACAGTACAGGAATTTGCAGAATTAAGTGCTAGAATAGACACTCTAGACATTAAACAACAGAAAATCACACACATTTTAGAAGCGCAAGCTTCAGTTTTAAATCAAACAATTGAGATTTCAAAGGATAATTCAGAGAGAATCAGCCTTTTAGTAGAGAAACAGAAACATTTGCAAGATTTTTACAGTCGCATAAATATGCATTCTACACAAGCTGTTCGTCTTTGAGATTTGTAGTGAGTTCATTTGTAGAATTCAGATCTCATCTCACAAATGCTAGGGAAGCAATTGATATTAACAAATATGGGCAACTTAGCTCATATTTAGTCCCGAGAAAAATGTCCTTAGAGGCTCTTCTAGCTATAAAAAATCCCCTTCCGATTTCAGTGACGTTAATTAAATTACCACTCGAAGACAATCTATTTAAATTTTACCAGTTGATAACAGTCACTTTGGTAGCTCTGCCAGGTAAATTACGCGTTTTTGTCGAAATACCTTTAGTAACTGCAGAAGGATTGCTTGATTTATACGAAATTTTTAAGCTACCGGCGTATTTTTCAAAGGCAAATATATTTTCATTCTATGAAACAAATTATCCATATATAGCATTTTCAAAAAGTAGACAATATTACATGCTATTAGATGTTTATGATTTGGAAAAATGCGATCAAATTTAATTTCTATTTGTTCTCCGGAAACGCCGATATTCAAACCCCCGCAACAAGCATGCGAGTAGGCATTATTCCTAGGCTATAACTCTTTCGTTAAAAAGCTTTGTAAAAAGCGTTTTTCTCAAATTCATATGTCAATCTTCAGTAGAGTTGACACTGAAGGAAAATGAATTTTCCACTCACACTTCATTAAGTCTTGTTGTCGACTATCAACAAAATAGAAATAATCAACAATTAGATTCTAAAATAATCAAATTAGTTGACACGGGATTCTTAATTCGCCCAATGACATGTCGCGAAAGTGCAGTTAGCATCACACTTCCAGTTGCGATCCACTTTTTTAATTTCCACTGAAAAACATTTAGTTGTTCCCCCTATTACGAACATACTAAACGACACAGAACGGGAAATGATAATGTTTTCATAACTTATTCAGTGAAAGGAAAAGTTCAATCAGCTTATTTAATGACTTTAGATTATCACTAGAATTAGCTAGTGCATCTTACAAAGATATTCAAGATCAATTACAAACATTGAAAGAAATACCTGAAATATTATATTCGCATGATTACGATGGACTAGGCATTCAGAATCATTACTTAGTAATCTGAGGCAGCATAACTACTGTATTATAATTGCTATCATTATTACTGTTAGGTTAGGATAACCTAACCTACGTAATTATTTGAGGTAGACGTAGATCAAGGACCGGAAATTCCAAAGCAATAATCCCGACACCTATATTCACCTCTATTTATATTTGTCATTTTAAAATTACCAATGTAAGGTTAGAATTATTTCAAGATGTACAGTACAATCTTGCAAAAAGTGATAAGTGAGGATATGAAATAAAATGAACTGAATCTAATTCATAATAATTTAATACTAAATTACAAAAGTAGCAAATACATCTGATAATAGTAAAGTATCAGAATATTAATACAAATCTAAATTTTTTCCAAACTAGTTAAGCATTATTATATTCAACATCACTAGTATGAGAATTAGTTCATAAAATAATATTCTTTTGAAGGTAATTTTGTTTCATACAGTACTTTTTTACTATTAAAATAATTATAATGAAATATTCCTTTCTGTTTTAATAAATATATATACTTATTTTTTTTTGAAAAAAAATATTAAAGTTTGGGAAATCAAAATTTTATAGCATTAAATTTTCAACTAATTTAGATAAACTTAAGTTTAAGAATTAATAACTATTTATAAATTTCATACAATCTATGGTAAAAGTTGCAAGTTTTTCAATATAAAAACCGACAAAGCATTTTCCATTGAACAAATAACACGTTAAAAAAATTTTTTAGCAATAAATTGAAGGATTTGATTTCTCATATGTATCAATAATATATGGATTATTTGCTTTTGCATATGATTTACCTAAAATACTTAATCTAACTTATGTATATCATTTACTATAAATAATGGACACTTTCAATTATGTTAAGTAAAGTAATAAAAATATATCTGATACGTTTCGAAATTTTAATAATAAATTGTTCAATCGTGTTTTGAATATAAACTAAGTCTTTCGTGATTTAGTTATTGTTTTGTCACGAAAGCTGGAGTATTTTAAGTCGCGAAATAATTTAATAGAATTACATTTGAATGCCAAGCTTCAAGAAGTATCTACAGATAACACCTAAAGAAAGTATTTGACAAAGGAAGGAGTCCGATATTTCGGTAAGTTCTGTAATTAATGCAATAAATTAAACTTATATTTATGCTGTTCATGTAAAAATAGCTACTATCAACAATAAACAAATAGTCATAGACAGCATAAGAAGACCATTTTATGATAATATTCGTTATTCTACAATAAATATTTTTGTAAAACAATATAATTGTGTAGAAAACACAATTATTTTGTTTCAATTCAATTCAGCTCGGACAATATTTCAATCGCTTACAAAACTTCATTCAATCAATCAACCAATGCTTTATTGCATGGACTTAGTTCGTTACAAGGAGTAACAGAAACAAAACTCAGTGATAATATTTAACAAGTTAATAATTTACTACAAAATAACACAAAATGGAATATAGAGTAATAATTAGTTTTTAAAAAGCACTATATATTAATAACATCTTTCCAAGATTTAAACCTTACTAAATGCTTGTCTCTACTAACTTTAAATTTAACACAATGAAGAAATACATGTTCCTAGGTTTCGTATATTTGCAGTTACGATATATCTTTTCAT